TATATATATATATATATATATATATATATATATATACATAGATAGAAATATATACATAGTAATGTATACATAGCATATAAATTTCATTTTTCCTGAGTATTTTTGATCAGATCAATTGGTACCTGTACCATCTCTGTTTTTCATTGGCGATAATGGTACACCGTTGGAAATTATTGCTGGCAGCACAACAGCAGCTGATTTAGCTACTAAGATTGATTTAGTTTTAACAAAAGCAAAAAAAAATAAAAATGCCTCCCTTGATATGATAGATGCAGAACAAAAAGCTACTGCTGCCAACAGTGCTAATAATGTTAATATAAAAATTGATATAGATACAAAAAATGATAGCATAACAAAATCAAGTGTAGAAGTACCATTAGCTCCTAGTGTAGAAGCTACATCAGAAGATAAAAGTAATAATATAATTAAGAATGACATTAAACAAGAACCATCCACAAGCTTGGAAACTAGTGAACCACCAGAACCAGTCAATGAAACAAAGGAGACACCGAACAAAGAATCAACGTCAGAAGTATGAATTTAAAGATTTTCTTATTTAAATAGTTATGATAAAAAAAAAAAAACTAAAATATTGTACATCCCTAGGAAAAAATTAAAAAAACACAGCAGCTAATAGAGTTACAAAGAAAACAACGTATAGAAGAGGAAGAACGGAAAAATAGGGAAAGAGAAATAGAACGCCGTAAAATGGGTCGCGATACGCGTAAACTCCGGCAACAGCAGCAAGATCTAGAACTGAAACAAGCTTATGAAGAGAGAATGAGAGAGAAAGCTGCTGATGCAGCGGCTCGGGAGAAAGTTTTGCAACAAATTGCCCAAGATAAATTAGAAAGGAAACAAAAACAATTAGCAATGCAACAGGTTTGTATGTTCTTTTTATGGAAATATGTAAAATATATTTTTTTTATATATATAGTACAAATATATACTTGTCAAATGTAGCAACATGGGCAGCAAGAATGTAATTCAGAATCGTCTGAATCACCGATATCCACTGCAACTGTCAGTAGAATACAATTCCGATTGCCATCTGGTAATCCTTACATTACGCAGTTTGAATCATCAAGTACTTTGCGTGACTTACGTACTTACGTCGTTCAGAACATTAATTTACCATTTCGTCAATTTGCGATGTCAACCTCTTTTCCAAGACGGGAGTTAATGCATGAAGATGATGATAAAACTCTCTTAGAATTGGAATTAGTTCCTACAGCAGTCATTCTAATCCTGCCTTTGAAAACTGTAATTTCATTTTATATTTCAACATATCCTATTTGTGTGAGATTCCTCATAATTCCTGATTTAAAATTTTTAGCCGAACATCACAACAACTGTAACAACGTCTACGTTGTCTACGCAAGATGTTAGTATCTTGCCACGGTTCGTTTGGTCTACTTTTGCGCTTTTCACAGCTGTGTACTACTACCTAATAGGATATTTCACCAGGCGCGGAAACACCCCGAAACAACCAAGTAATTCCGTTGAAAAGAACGATACAGAGAACATTGCAGAAAATGCAGTTACAGCAAATCTTCAGAATGTTGCTAGTTCATCAAGGTAGATTTTTTTATTTACGCAAATGAAGCAAAGATACGGATGATAATGATCTATGTGTTTAATTTGGTTTCGTTTAATTTGGTTAGAAGATACTTGGGTAATCCTAAAGGAAATACAACCATCAAAACTGAAGGAAATGTACATAGACTACATTCAAGTGAAGATGACGATGATGAGAATAATACATGGAATGGTAATTCAACGCAACAAATGTAGATTATTATAAATTTAATGGGCTTTAGTTTAATCAAAATCTCCACTAATCAGAACTTTAGATATAGAAATGACATCTCCGATTAAAAATATATTTTGTTAAACTTTTATATCTTTCTGTTTTGTCGCGCTGCAACTGTCACGATCAAAATTACTACTAAATTATGATGACACGTTGAATCACGACTTATTTTATTTAAGGAGAGAAGTTTATTTATGTCGTATATATACTTATTGAAGAGGAAATATCTAATTCTTCACGATCCAGTATCATTTTAAATGTTAAATTGTTGAAACGATAACTTTAATATGTTACAAATAATATAAGGATCAAACGCAGTTTTTTAATTGCGATACGACAGATAAGCTTACATTCTGAAAGGGACATGAAATATACATCCTTATATTTGTAGCATTAAGCTTATTGTGGGTTTTAAGTTATATTATATGTTTTGAGATTTCTTTGAAATACAAATTATTTTGTTATATCACATTAATTAAAGTTATAATATATTTTCGAGTAACAAGAATTATACTAAGGATAGCGATCACGTTACATTTTATTTTACGATAAAGAGCAAAATGTATCGATTATATAGAAAGCTTTTATCCTGTTATTATACAAATAAAAAAAAAAATTATAAAAAATTTAATACAAGTCGTAAGTTTTCCTATTACGTCCAATGTAGATTATTGTCTCACGATTCCGCAAGCTGTACAGTTAATGGCGCCAAAGTAGTTGGTAAAATGATACACAACAGTTTATTACAACGGTGAGAACATGGAATCGTGACGTGCGATTTTTCATCTGACGAAATATGATTCCAAAAATATGTTCAAGGAAACGATAGAACATAAACGCCAGAAAAGTGTCTCGACTGGCTCCGGTTTTGCGGCTGGACACATTCAGAGGAATCGATAATTTATTCCTTCCTATCGTGGTGCTATTGATTGTGGCACCAATTAAGCGTAAAATTAACAAACATTTTGGCCGACTTGTTCCTTTAAAAGTGTCAGCTTTCTGGCAACGTAACATATTGCAGAACCTGTGAGAGGAGTGTCGTTTGGGTAATGTGATCTTACACAGACACACCTCCTAGTCCTTTCAACAACTTATTGTCTACTATGCTTGATTACAATGCATTTCTCGTGTTCGAATATATTTTGTTTGGTTATTTTCTTTTTTTATATTTTATCGAAGTAAAAGGTGGATGAATTAACATGAATTAAACGCGATAGGTATAAATAAATATGACTCGGAATCAATCGTTCGCCAATATCTTCGGTTTGATTTACTCAAGAAGAATCACAACTTGGCTAGCTGCAATTTGAAACAAATTTCTGCAGTGTATTTTGCTGGTTCGCATAATCGCAGCCAAGTTTCACATCTGTTAACTTGTATCATTCTATCATCCCTATCATCGTCCTGTTAATATATCCAATTGTGCGCCTAATAATCGTTTAACTTTTTAACATTAAACGTATGAATGATTGTACACTGACCTCGCTATAGAAACATACTGCATCATAGAATTTCATTACGAATTCATTGAAATTTAGATTTCTGTAGACTGTTGACAAAAGATCTCAAAATTTCTCATTCCGACCATCGTGCGCATAATTTATAGCTACAGATACGTGTTATATGCATTTTGCACTTATTCTTTTTTCTTTCAATATTAATTCACTCCACTATCATCCAATTATTAGAATGTTGAAAAAAAAAACTTCGAATCATCTGAACGAATGATTTGACGTTCGATAAGACCAAGGTATTCCTAGGATCATATTAGATACGGGCGGAGCAGATTGAAAATTCATATCAAATTGCATTCATCTTCTGTCGAGACAATTATTAAATAGCGTTTCATGACGGTGACAGAAATTTATGGACATCTCATTACCACCGTTTAGTGACTGCTACCGTCTTGCTGTACGAGATCATTAGGAGCTCCTTCCAGAAACGCACGTGCTTGCCAAGAACCGCCCAAAGTTTCCTGGGATTGGTTGAACATAGAGTGACGTTATGAGCACGTGGCTTTTCGACACCGCCTCGAAGAACGAAGAATTTGACTTGGTTGCCAAAAAAAGAAAAAAAGAAAAATATTGTTGGACATCGCGAGCAACGCCGACAATCAGTCGCTGGTTTCGATTCTAATCCCACGAACGGATATCACGGCTATCTATGAATGATCTGAATCGATCTCGTATTCGCAACTTCATCAATTATATCTATCGTCCTATCTTCCGTAGAATGAGATTCAAAATCATTCGTTAATTACCTACCCACAGATCGAATTTAAAAATCATTGTACAAACAGATAGTGATTGTGATGCGATAGTGATAAGCATAGTGAAGAAATGTGCAGTGACTTTTGAAAGATCGGCTGTCAGAGGGGCACTAGACACTAGATATCTCGAACTATCGAGGAAGATATCTAATCAATCTGATCGTTTTATAATCGAGACGCCGAATGGAAATCTAGATGGTAGTGCGAGAAATTTGAAGACTTAGGATGTCGGAAGAACGCATGATGAAAACATCGGGAAGCAATAGAGGATCGATGGAATTGGCCGAAAGTCCGAAAGTATGCTCTTTCAGTATCGAAAGTCTTTTAGCGCCAAGCAAGAAACCTGTCGAAGAGGAAATTCGTGCATCGGTTCACACCGAGACGTATTTGCACACTCATGAGTGTAAGTGAGCAAAACAATTATCTTTCATTCCATGAAAATTAACAGAGGAAATTGAAGAAATGAAATTCATTTAAATAGCAAATGATTCGGAGGAACGAAAATTGGTAGCGCCGGATTCTTCTATGTCCGTGGCAGAAGAAATTGAGTTTAACGATGCCGATTTGGTTTGTTCGACCCCGGAGTCAGAAATGTGTTACGGTAAGCTGACTTGAAAATCTTAGAATTACATTATAGTTGAATTGATTTGAAAATCAATTCAAATTTAGTGAAACAATTCTACTAAAACGCAGAAGAATCTCATTAATGTTCATATTAATAATCAAATATATTTATATTCATCTATGAATTAAGTGCATCGAAATACAATTATATATTGCACATAAGAGCACATAAAATGGTGCTTACGATGTGTCAGTTTAATCTGTTTCGCAAGATTATACGGTGTATATCAACAAATTGTACAAGTGCCGCACACCTGTATTTGCCTTGACAAATTACTTGGTTAATAAATGGTATATCAAGTGGAAACAAGGGGCGAAAGCTCGTGAGATATTTTAATTCGAGCAAACGACAAACAATCAAGTTATTTCAGTTGAAAGGCCTACCATTTAAAACATCGTGTCATATCCGTTGAGTATTTATATTTCCTCAAATTGTACGATCAAGGAAGACATCTCAATTGTTGAGAGGCAAATATTAGAGTATCGAGTACTAAAATAGTATCGTGCAAATCATTCGCAAACACATCGCATCATTCTTTCGAAATCCTAATCATTCGTTACATTACCTTTATCGTTTACATTTTAATTGCCACTCATCACACTGGAAATTTCTAATTAAAACTCTGAGTAAATAATTCATAAAACATGTCGTAAAATCCGTGACAATGTAACGTCGACGCAAATATTCTGATATACGAACGTGGTACACCATCATTACTTTGTGTCTTCCACAGTCGCGATTATTACACGCTACGTAATAATAGGTAATTGTTACCACTTAATTCGGATATTGTTACCAACGTGAAAGGGAGTAATTGTTACAGAATCCACATGCTTCCTTCACGTGGTAACAAATTCGTAAGTTTACGCGGAGGACCGTTGCCCGTGAGTTTGATCCATTACTTCCTGCAGGGTCCACGCCCACTCAATGTTTCTGCTCCTCGTTCACTATTTATCTGTCTCCTGCTAATTCTGCCATGGAAATGCAGCAAAATGTGTCTTCGTGTCTCCTACCGTGCAGAATGAGAGAAAGATATCACATCACGAACAGATATCATTTGATGTGATAATTCATGAATTCATTCGGTTCGATTTCCATTTTGTTCCGTTAATAAGACGTTCTTGATTGTATTTTAATTTCTCAGTCGTGCAAGGATTCCTTCCCGCATTGGCTGTTATCATGTGAGAATCATAATTGCTACGAAGAGCAATCGATAGTTGGCTCAACTCTTTTTTCTTTTGACAACAGAAGTGCTTTAGATTCTCGACGACTAATTTCCACCAAGGACTCTTGTCTTGCGTGATTTACACAATGTAGTGGTCACCGCGATAAATCCGAGATCTAAGGGAAGGACAATTCTTGTTTGTGCTGTGTGTTTTGACTATGAGATATGTGGAACGTCGCATCCAACTACAAAGCCATCAACGAGACGCATAAATCTTTGCAAAAGCTACCTCGCGAACGAGTAAAATCGCTCCTACTCTCCTTTTTTACGGGCTAATTTCTCTGATTCTTAAGAAGCCATTCATTTTCTGATTTCGTTATTTTTTTTTTTTTTTTTTTTTTTTTTAATGTACACAGCTGTCTGTCATCCTCGCTGATTGCCGATGAAACTACGATCTAATTCGAGATTATTCTAACTCAAGATTATTCAATTCCTTGGGATATAAGGCGAGATATCTTTCGTTGAAATTTTTGCGTTTTATGACACTAGTTGAAAGAAGCAGTGTCTTAAATCATAAAGGGAAATTTAGTGAACCGTCTATTTTGAAACATAACGATCGGTACGATTCACATGCGCGGATTAATTATCTTGCTAGTTGACCACGAGTGTGAAATCGTGCAGCTCCGAACGAATGAAAATTAGCCAGGCTTTATCGCGCATTTCTACCCGTGCTCTCGCCATTCATCACAGAATAATTAGGAGACAAGTTCACCGTGGCTCGCAGCAATTAGGTAAACTAGAGGGCGTGGTGTTCTATTTCGGCACACAGTACTCTTCGTCGGCTTCCTCCGTGAGCTTTCTTCGTGTCTTAGGCTGCTTTTTGCCGCCGTTGCCTTCCACACCAACCCTTTCTTCTCTCTTCTTCTCCATCTTCTTCGCGGAGCTCGTTCGTCAATGCAACCGAGTCAGAAAGTCGACGACAAATGAGCCGCGCACCCTCCGAAAATATTCTCGGTTTCGAATCGTGGCTCGTTCGAATCTTTCCCGGTAAAGAATGTCAGTTACTTCTTTCATCGGAGAGATGAAAAACCTTTCCGTTAGGGAAATGTCTGCCGGAAAGTTTCTTTTCGGAAGAGATAGCTTGTCAGAAAGACGAACGACACGAGATGGATTTAACTCCGCCTTAATTGCAACGTCCGCAAACATTGTGCTAATGCAACAGATGCAACCATTCAGATCTAAAATGTAAACACGTGCAACTTGTACTGTGTTTGATATTATTATCTGCTTACTGTTACTGTTTCCCAGCGTTCGAGGTTGGAATCTTTCCTGAATTTACACGTGCACAAGCGTGCACATCGTACGACGCGGTTCGCGTCGAGTGAATTAGAGGCGGTACGGTTTTAGCCGACGATTCTGTAGTACAGGGAGAGAAGAGAGGTCTCGAAAAACGCGCGAGAAACGCGACAATTACGTCGCCATCTGACAATTAGTTGCCGGTAAACGGACGCAAATACTTTTTTCGGGATATTTATTGCACCTCCGACTACAAGGGTCGCTCGGGCCGATCCATTCTTCTTGCAAACGAGCAAGCTTTTGTCATCGATTTATCGACGCCAAAATAACCGATTCTCTCTCCAGCTTTGATACTGTGATAGATGAGTTCCTACCTCTTCAAAATTGCTTGTCCCAAGACATCCAATACAGATGAGATGCTAATTATATTCTAACGACACGAACAACCGAGCATTTGATCACTATTATTCGAGCGATTTCAGGGATTTTGTTCTAAATCTTGGTTCTACGTATGACGAAGGTGATAAAATAGGGTACAGAATGGTGACACAAATGCTATCGCTGTGTTGCGAGAATACTT